AAATTCTGCAAGGACTTTGCTGGCTGTCCTGGAAGTACCTAGGTGACCTGTCATAATAGATTCATGAGCAAGCGAAAGAACCTTGGTTCTATATTTCTTTGGTACAACTAGCTGTGTAAAACGTTTACCATTCTGATGTTTATCTGACTGGAAGACACGATAAATGATACCTTTCTTAATAATGTACAATACCTTGGAGTCGTCATCCTTTCCTACCAAAGAGCGTATCTTGGCTAACGTCTCGTCTTTCTCCTGTGCTGCCTTGATGTCGTCAGGACATATATCAGCGTCGATAATTTCTGGAACATGAAGAGATTTAGTCTTCTTACCTTCCTTTTGAGCTTGTTGCCTCGTCACTACTGCATGTGCTTGATAAGGTGTCCAGTTATTATCTGGATCCTTTGGATCTCTTGCGTTGGGGATGTTCCCGATGATCAAGGAATACAATGGATTCTCTAAACACCAAGCGTCTATTTCACCCACAAAGTAAGGAGTGTCTATTTTCACTCGCGCAACAGGTGCTTGAATTCTAGATCCATCCGCCAGAGAACAAATTCGATGATTTCCTGTAAGCTGAACATCATCTATCAAATCCCTACGAACTACAACACCGTTACAACCAGTGTCTCTAAGCACTGTCACAAAATGTTCATTTAACTTGCCTTCACATGTAGGCATATCTTCTAGAGATGCACTAACGTTACAAGATGAAGTGTTTACAAGGTCCATCGAATTTGACGCCATTGAAAATGTAGTTGTGTTTGTAAAGGAAGTAAAAGTTCCACACTTGCCTTGTAATTCTGAGTTCTTTGTCATAGATTCCTTCTCTGTACGATCAACGACTGCATTCACTGAGTTCCGATTCTTCTGAGTCTGGTGGCACTGAGACGCTATGTGGCCCAGTCTGTCACACTTGAAGCAACGAACTTCTTTCTTTATTGGAGTTTTCATGAAACTTCAATCCTGGCTTCTGATCTCGCTGTTCCTGTTCTCTCGATGCCTGACTTTTTCCTGGAGAGTTCTCTTTCTTGCTAAAATGAACTAATGTCTGAATGTTAACATTCCTTGCCTCTCTAAACTGATCTGCTAAAGCACACATTTCTCTGATGTTTTTCGGTATGCGTTCTTTCAAAAACAATGTCAATTCTTTGTTACACATAAACAGAAACTGATCTCTGAGTATCATATCGTAGAGGCCATCAAAAGTCTTGTTAACTCGACCAAGTTCAATCCACCTATCGAGATAACTACCGAGACGAACAACAAACTGTGAAAAAGTTTCCCCTACCTCAGGTCTGCTCTTACGGAACTTTTGACGAAATCCATCCTCCGTCTTTTCAAACCTTTTTAGTAACGCCGTCTTCAAAGCAACATAGTCCAAAGCTTTCTCCTGCGGCAACAGTGCATACACATCCAGTGCACGACCTCTGAGTAGTGCGCTCAAGTTAACAGCCCAACTGTCAAACTTCCATTTCTGTGCTGCAGCATACCTTTCAAAACGTCTCAAATAAGAATCAATATCATCCTTAACTTCATCAAATACAGGCATTTTTGGAAACTTTGCATTGCTAAAATTTTCTGATTTCGTTTCTGACTCCTTTACAGCTAACTTTTGCTCTACGGTTTGAATAGTTTGTATGAATTTACTCTCAATCTCTTCCATACCTTTCTTTTCCTGTAGTTTGAGTTTCTCAATTTCAAGTGCTTCTTTACTGAGATGATACTCCCTATCCTGCTTCTCTTTCTCCCGTTCAGCTGCTCGTAGCTCACGCTGATGTGCCTGTTGTTGCTGTATAAACTGCTGCAAGTCCGCACCAGTCAAGTTCAGACTCTGTCCATATTCTGCAAGTTCTTTCAATGTCGACATTGTAATAGAACTAAACACTAACTGACTAAATATGAAAAATATAACTACAACCAAATAAAACAACATTGATTTTCAAAACAAAAATGAAATGTGAAAAATCTTTCTCAAAAATGTGTATACTAGTATCTCAACAGATAAGTTAAGTATACAAACTCAATTCATACGAAACAAAGCAACGGAACTCAACGAACTCAACGGACTCAACGGTAACCTAGCTTTCTCCATTTGGGGCTCCATACATAAACCAAGTACTGACATCCTGTGACTGTCAAAAATCTACAAACTCTTTGACTGCAAAATACAACAAAAAATGATTAAACAAAAATAGCATAATTGTAATGTACAAAAATACTGCTGACTGAACAGACTATCCCACTTCTGACACCAATTTGTCACGACAGCCGTCGTGCTCTGTTCAGTCAGATATAACAAGATTTTTTTTCTATTTACAATTTTTTTTTATCTATAAATAAAATCAATAAAAACAATATTCACAATATATTTACACGGCTATTATTTACAATAAATAGAACTTAAAGTCTCTTATAATCCTCAATAGCGTTGGCTCAGAACCACGTCCACGCAGACACGCCCCGTTTCACGACGGACTCCCGCCAACTGGCTCCCAATGGGTATCCCGGTCTGGTTAAGGTCGTCACCAACACACACATTGCTAGATCATAATTGGATTACATCAGGAACCTTTAAATTAAATAACATTTTTAAGTCACAGCCTACGTATACAAAAGGAAAAACTCAAGTCACCATTGACTACAATTGCACTAATGGCACACCATACAAACAGTATCGGTATTTCTAACCAAACACTGTCAAATACAAAGAAAACGTTAAGAATATTCACAATATCTTAACAAAAGTGGTTTTAACACTTAAACCCACAACACCGACTTTATAAGCGGCAAAACAAAATAGCCTACGTGCGTACATAACATCGTACATTGCACCAGAAATAGAACAATAAACGCATGAGTAACTCTACCCAGCAAAACCTGTATACGTAAATAGTAACAAAAACATTACTTAACTCAAGTTCTTAAATAGTTCTACGTTTTAAATGTATTACTCAAAAACTTACATATAAAATAAAAAACAAACTTACCCCTTATGGAGAAATGGTTACCGTTGAAAAAAGTATTTATCTACTCATCTTGGACTGTACGTCAAGCATGTAAATCTATGAAAACGTGGACCCCGGCTACTTGGTCAGCTATGCAGGGATTTAAATACCTCATAATACAATAGGTCGTAACTGACCAATACCTGCAAAACTTAACTTGAGGTTCAATAAGGTAACAAAAATATAGAGGTCCAGTAAAGGGTAAATAAAATAAAAACCATAAACATAATGTAAATACAATTAAAATTAAATATTGATTGTGACAACATTACATTCATCTGCACAAAAAACAATGATGGTGCTATAAAGTAAATCCTTTTACATCAAAACAATATGAATTAATACAAGAGAACCATGGGTCACATTGCCTACCTAAGCACATTGGCTAGGAAATAGCACAAATCAGCTCAGTATTGACTAGAATTTTAAACATCCTGAGGATGGTCGCCCACGGGGTGCAATGCTTAGAGCGTCTGCTCTAGAGTCGCAAATTTAGAAGTTGCACCTTAAGTTCCGGGTTGAAATTGCACTATTGGATTTGGAGACTGGTCCTTCGGATAAAACTATATAAACCTAGGTTCGAAGTCGCTGTAGATGCTGGCACGAAAAAGATCCCGCCCTGCTCAGTGGCCATAAACGCCGAGTACAGGACATTTTTTGCAACTCTCAACCTACAAGTGAAAGCGTCTCAATAATAGTGAAAAATTCTCGAGGGGGACGTTAAACAACATACAATCAAACAAACAATCAAATCTAAGGATGCTTCTACATTAATATAAGAAGACTTTGCTGTTCTTCAAGAGAAGATTGATCCCCAATTGTTATCCCACCTTTCTCGCAAGAGGTCATAATTTGAACAAATCTGAATCAACACTACCTGAGGATGGTTCCATATTATAATGACTAATCATGACTCTGTTGTTTTTCAAAAAACTTTGTTTCTTTTTTTTATACAATCCTACATGTACAAAAAAATGTATGTAAAAACTTTTAATTGTAGCTCAAATCTTTTTAAGAGTCATGATTTAAACAATCTGAAATCTTCACTACATGGGGATGGTTTCATATCAGTAGGTCTATTGTTGCTTTGCAATTCTTAGGAAGAATATTTTTTTTTTAAAATATGTGTTCTATATAATTGTATTGGAAACTTTGATTAACCTTTGTAGCACCAACCTTCCCCCGGGGATCAAATTTAGAACAATTCTGAATCAACACTATTTGAGAAAACTTCCATTTAATTTGGCGACATGTATACATGGATTTCCTATATTGCTTACCCGTTGTGGCCCCACTCTTCCCCTACGTGTCATCATTTGAATAAATCTTCTCTACGCAAGGAAGTTGTCACATGAGTTTCAGCTATTTTGGCGCAATAGTTCCCGAAATAGAGATTTTTGAAACTTGCATCCAATTTTTTCTTAATCATTTATTATCTCCACTTGAAAAGGGACATTCATGCAATGGCCCTTCATTTAAACAAACCTCATATTAATAAACCATGCATGCTTTAATTGCGAATTAAAGGGTCTTTGAGAAAAAAAACAGTCAAATATTTTTACATTCATTATTGTCAAACGTAAGTTAGTTTTTATAAAACAACACGCATAATCTTGTTTGGGTTTTTTTTTTTTGGCTAGCAAACAATATTACAATACAATTATAATTAGGTTTTTTACATTATTTTACGAATAAATTTTATGATGTCTCATAAAAGCCTTCAGAATTATTAATGTAAACTCTTCATGTAGAATGTATGTTTAAAGATAATGATGAATCAATGAATTAATTTGCATGTTTATCAAAACTTTGAAAATTGCAGAATAAACAATTATTTGTGTGTAATAAATCAAATCACAAAAACTATAGAAGAATAATTATTAATTATACATACATCATATGACATGAAAGACGCGGAAGGAATCGCCATCGTTTTTAAGGGGCGGCATTGTTCTAGATACAAAAATGAGACCAATGATGTAATGGGATTATTTTTTATTTTGAGAGATATTACATCAATTTAAACTCAACATTATTCAGGAGCTGACATGGAATGTAAACGGAGGTCCAGGTAGATTATTAGATTTTCCATACACAGCACATTGATGCAAAGGACACGGGCTTTCATGCCATGCATATCTGACTTGTACCACATGATTTCCGTGCGCACAAGCAGATATGTCAAGAGTAACAGTAGCATAGTCATGTGACGTCATCGTTACATTCATCCAATGGGTGTCAAAAGAGTTGCAAATCTTGGTTGTTTGATTAACGCAACACACCTTAACAAATAGAAAAAAGCCTTTTGCCAATACATGTAATGTTAATGATAAGATTCACTTCATTTGCATAAAAATTCCAGATACATTTAAAGAAATAAATTGCCTCTTTTTCATATTTAAAACATATTAAAATTTGTCAGAACCGGCCAGGCAAATACTAGTAGTGAAGCTTTCTACCTCAAACCCTTTGTTCGATCTGACTTCAATAGGATTTAGTCCTCGTCCGTATTCTATAGTAAGATGGCGTTGAGTGCTGTCAACTTCGGCAGATGTTGGAAAAGGTCCTTCAAATTCTACCCCTGGTTGATGATAAGCCACACCCAGTGCCCCAAGATACAAACGATAAGCTACATCATGTTTATAGCGGGGATGAATACTAGAGTCAAAATACATATTGTAAATAGTTCTCTATAAATTGGAAGTTTGTATGATACGCCCTCCTACTTTAAAAAAAATATTCTTTAACCTACTAATGTTAAATTGACACTAATACAAATGTACATCGAATTCTTTTCGGTGAAATACAGCCAGCTTCACATAAGTAGTTCTTCACAGTATAAGTAACACTCGTACCTTCCGTAGGGTGATTGGAAGTCAGGGAGATCGATAGCTACAGCCATAAATACATTGTGTAAAAGTGAATTAGGAACATATCCTATGTTAGCCGTCTGTGACCAGCGAAGCTGTGGAAACCCAAGACCTTTTCCTTCCTCTCTGTAGGGTGCTAGCTGTTCCAAGATTCAAACAATCTTTCACATACTTTTATAATTGTTTCCTCGGGAGAATTAAGTTTAATGTATTGAATATTCTTCATAAAATTTGAGAGAAGATATGGAAGTGAAATGTTGAATGGATATATGTATACTTCTATCTTCAGGCGTCTCCATATGAGTAAAAAATTCTCGAGAGGGGCGATAAACAATATACAATGAATCAATCAATCAATCAATCAAACAATCAGTTGGTTTAAGTGATAGATTTTCAAGAAAAGCAGAATTGGTGTATAACTTAAGATTTCTGTACACCAGCTGTTATAACATCAGCTTCTTTTTTTCGCAAATCATCCGCTTTAGAACCATCTGCACCGACTATTAATTGCCATTCATGAAACATTCTTTTTCAATACACAACTTATAATTAATAAGTGATCAAAGTGAAAAATATTCACGAGTTTCAATTAAAAAGGATCGCAAATTTTGAGTATATTTCTCTCTGACGAATAGAATTGATAAAATATATGCACCTGTACAAATCCGAAAGGGAAAGTAGGGCTAGTTGTTCCTCCAGAGGCGTGGCTAAACTTGGACCTCCAGTCCTCAATCATTTCGAGAAACTGACATGAATATTGATACGCATGCCCAGCATTCGATTCCCCTTTAAATTAGGCAGAGTTTCAGAGTAAACATAAACCTTTGTCTCGTTCTCATTCTTGCTCTCAATCTTAACCAAAAATTCCCATTAAGTGCAAACATTTTTAAAGGTTAAATGGAATTTTAATGCATAAAGCTTTGAGTTCATATTGAAGAAGAATAGGGTGAGAGTTAACAATTATCGAAGATATTAGTATATTTTTAATTATACCTTGGTACCAGATAACTCCTTTGATTGTATTCCTTAGAATTGGATAAATCATGGCGTTGTACAATTGGTTATTGGAGTTTTGATTTCTGTTACGAAAACAGAAAAGTTGGTATCCTAAAACTTCGAATATCAATGAGCTCTTCTTCGGATTGTAATAAAATTTTAAGAATTAAAGTCAGCGGAGCTTATTTAAATCAAGGTAGACAGCCGGCAAAAAAAACCTTTTGCGACGACCATGGAATCCTGCACACGCAGAGAGAGCATCTGGTGATGACCAAGCCTCAATCCTAGTACCACCCCAATCTGTCTGCACCAAACCAATTGGATAGTTAAAATGTTGTGACAAGTATTTTCCATAAAGCCAGCAAACAGCCGAATAATGCTTAATGCTCTCTGATGACAAAAATAATATAAATAGTAATTTTTTTCAAATTCATTTCCATATATTCACATCCAATGAATATTTTCTCCTTTATTTCTTAAGAAAACCCATTGCGTTAATCACTGCATGAACTACATGAGGCATGTCACCTGTACAGATTTCTTGATCAGTGGCTGTTCCATCCATGAAACGTATAAAGACGTTTGCATCATAAATACAATAATTAAACTTTTTAATCTTTCTTTAAATGATTATTTAAACAGATATAAACATAAACAATAAAATGTCTTTCTTTGTTTGTTATTACGGGAATTAACGGTCGCAGCTATTGCAGAAAAAATTTACATTACCCGCTTACGCGGATTATGTATTTTTCTGCAACAGCTACTTCCATTTATTCCAGTAATACATGTAACAAACTTAGAAAGTATTTTATTGCTAAAATAAACTTTAGAAACCGTAAAGAAAAACTGTTTACTAATGATAAACTTACGCTGAGATGGTTTAAGCCATGGTGAATCTATCTGTTTTACATCTGTATAAGGAGTTGGGGAAAATTCATTGTGAACTTTAAACAGACGAATGTTTTGGTAATTTGCACTATCAGCATATTCTTCAGTTGCATTTACCAGCTGAAAACAATATGCTTAATAAATGACGCAATTGAAAAAAAAGTTCTGAATTTACATTAGAGCTTCAGCGTTTTTTTTTTATTTTAAAGAAAATCCATATGCATCTAGCTTTTTTTCAAAGAAACTATTAGCAAATCAGTACGATAAATTGTCATTTAATTCTGGATTACAAAATATTGGCTTTCTCACCCCATTACTTGAAAACTCCATATTACTTTGTCCTGAACAAACCCAGACATCACCGAAGAGGACATCTGAAATCTGAACTGTTCCCAGTGTCGAAGTTGCAGACACCGTATATGGACCGTGGTCAGAAGGACTTGTAAACGTAGCCTCCCAGATCTGATGGCTGTTAACAGTAGCCCTTGCAACTTCATTGTTGTTTAATTTTATGTGTACTACATCACCAACTTTGCTTGAATGTCCCCATATAGAGGTACCCATGGCACTTTTCTGCATCACCATGTGGTTATGATAGTAGGAAGAAAATGTGAAGTTTGCTGCCTCCACTTTGAATGGAACAAATGCAGATTGTTTTTAAGCACTAATCCCCAAAAAACATTTCAAGGTAATTCACCAATACATTATGTTCGATACTCGCACCGTAAGTTCAATTTTTAATTAAAGAACTGCACACAGGCATATGATGAAAACGTTTCCCCTTAGGATAAGGCATATCTAATTCATGTTCTTTTTTGCGAGAAATTAAATTTAGCTAAAATAATCTCAAATTGTCGGAGCACGCGCTCGAAAGGTACTATTTTATTTTATACGACGTGTCCTTATTGTTTGTGAACGAAAATCAGCGACGATTCAATGTCTGATTGGATGAATGATAATTTATAGACTGTGATATAGAAAAAAGAATGCATACTCTTTAAAACAGTAAATATATACATTGTATACTCACAAAAATATGCATTGCTGATAAATATTGCTATAGCAAAGATGTTTTTTGATAATTCCATCGTCTTCGAAATAGCTCAGTATTTTAAGACTGAAGGACTTAAACCTTAACGGGAATTCTTATCAGTACTACTAATATACGTAGATTTCGACCCAAATATCTAAGAGAACAATTGAAATGGCATTGGAAGTCACTTCACAACACTAATATAGGTGCAGATAAAGAAATGCAAAGACGCCAACTATAGCAACCTCTAATGATACAACCGCTTAATGATAAAGATATCATTAAGCGTTGCAAGACAATGCTTATTGTCATAAGTTATTGCATTACTGGTTGACATTCTCAACCGCTGATGCTAAAACGCCGCTTAATGAAAGAATTATATTTTTAAGCGATTGAAAAAGTCAACTATTAATGGGATAATATATGACATAGAGTGTTGAATTGCAACGCTTAATGATATTTCTATCATCAAGCGGCGTTGTAACATAAGAGGTTGCCACACCACACCTTTCCCCCGAACCAAAAGAGAGAAAAATTCTATAATGTCATAAGTTTACACAAAGCATTTTCACAATTGTTCTTAGCGCGCTTTTTTGATATATTTGCTCTTGATCAGAACGTGTTTTGAAAAGTTACAAAATCTAAAAACATGAATATTGCCTTTCACTTGCATTGTTCGCCTATGTCCATAGACTTAGAGGATGTAGAATTAATAAGTTCTGTTGCATGACATTCTAATGCATCCTTACTTTTTAAGTCGACACTTTCTGGACATTATAAAAAAAAATTTCTATATACCGGGTACATAATTTGTAGGTGTATTCTAAAAAAAGTTGACGCTGTTTTATGTTTTATATACAGGAGGATTGTACTTTATGGCACAAAGAGCTACAACCACGAAGTGCCAAAATATGCCCTGTCCCCAAAATAAATGATATTTTACTCTGTGATAGGTTAGACTTTGTGGGTTATAACACAGTTTATTTTTTAGTGATATCTTTTCCAGTTTTCTTTTAATAGTCGTTTGAAAATGGTATTGTTTCAAGTAAAATCTACATGTATAACGTCATGACTTTTGACGTTATATATATACACAATGTCTATTGTAACAGTATGACGTTAACGTTATTTAAATAAAGTTAATTATATCTACATTATTGGGAAGGGGGATCTGCTAAAATAAACCCTACCTAAGAATTTAATCATTGGACCATTAAGAAGTTTGAATCATGAGATAAATATAATGTCATGTAGCTAGCTAGTTTTTGCTTTGATTAAGAAAGTGTCAAATACTGTTATATTGTCCTGTTAAATCAAAAACAACTTTTTGAAATGATACATTAAAAGAAAATAGGGGAAAATTATTCACGGTGTAAATATTACCTGTATCCACAGTATTGATTAATCCGTAATGTCACGAAAAAGTGAATGTTAAGTGTTCAATTTTTTTTTTTTTTTTTTTGGGGGGGGGATCATAGAATAAGCAACAGAAGGCTGTTTTAATAGCCGTTGCAACTTGTGCGATTATTCAAAACACAAGGGTCGTGCGAAATTAACATTATCATTTGTATATACATGTATTTGTTGCGTATCATGCTTAATTGTATGGCCATTTTGTTTAAAATTATCCCTCGGACTTGCTGTACATATAAAAGGATATAATTTTACCGATATACCTTCACACGTTTATTATCGTCAAGTGTTATCCCTTCGGTAGAAGCTCTAGGGTAGTGTACATTGCTATGCATACTGGAAATTCATTCGAGATTCACAGTCAAAGACATTTGGCGGCACTTGTTTGGATAAACTGTAAATTAATTACCAAATCTATAACCACATTATCTAAACCTTTTTAAACGCCAACAGATGAACAGGCGCGGATCCAGAATTTTTTTCCAGTCAAAACAATATACAAGCCAGAAATCTCTTCTCATGCAAAAAAAAGCAAACAAACAAAACAAATCAACAGCAACAGCAACCCCCCCCCCCCCAAATAAACAAAATAAACCCACATAAACTCCTTTCCCATGTTTCGGATTGTTTCCCACATCTTTTCAAGACACGGTCTGGAGACGGCATACAACTCTTTCCCCCAGAATGGGAGACTATGGGCATTGTGGTCGTGGTTTGCGATGATGATTGTGTTTCCCATACAAATAAACCAAGACTTTTTATACAAACTCAACACAGAGTCCAGGGTTTCAGTGTCATCAAGGAGGGATCCAAGGTCACTTTTACTTAGTTTAGCTTAGGTATTTGAAACTCCGCAAATCCCAGTCTCTTCATTTAGATCCGCGCATGATGAATACCGGGTACACAGACAAAGGAGGTAATGTTTATAATTTACCAATTCAACAAATTCCAATCAAATCGCTATCATCTCGGGGATAGAGAGAAAAAATGTGAAAAAAACACATCCTAAATACAAAGCTAGCATATTTTAAAATTATGATCTATGAAGGCAACGAAATTACATGCACGAGATAATTCTGATATTCTGGGACACCCCATGTATTAAATAACTGCTGTCATTTTATATAATGTTTGATACCCCTTTTGATCAAAAACTGGAATATGCAAGTCCGTTCAAGTGTAGATCAAGGCCAGTTATATGTTATGCAGTTTAAGATCTATATTATTTTTTTTTACAATAAAGAAGATTAAAGATCACCCCCTTCTGTTGTGATATGGAACGCTTTCGACCATGCAACAATTATAAAATCAATGTTGCTGATCAGCCGGGGATATTTTTACAATTATAGAATAAAGAAAGTAAATTACCCTACCCTGTTGATTTATGTTTGTATTTATGAATTAAAACGCCCCCCCCCCCCTATAATTGCGCCCATGAGAAAAGGGTCCTTATGACATTTTCACTAAAACAGAGAAATAACGTCATAAAGACGTGACGTTGCAGATCGACGGCGAGTGTCAACGCAGATTTTTTTTACCACGTGTTTACGTTTTTAACACTAACTTATGTTGTAGGTCTGAATATTGATAATAATTATAGAATTTCATTCGCATATTTGATTTGTGTCCAAATCCTTTTGTCCATTAGTTTAAATGAAAAAAGACATAATTTTATTCCAGATCGGTTCCTTTACTAGTACAGTTGAAGCTAGTATTTATATAATTTATTACTATGATACATATATACATATACATGTATGTTTTGTTTTTTTTGCCAAGAGCTTCATAAAATGGACTAAATGGCTTGTTGAATACATGGACGAATGAATTCGATTTTGATATATATGGACCAGTTTGAGCAGTCTCGTGTCAAAAGTATTCGTAAAAACATGGCGTCACGGAGATTGAAATTCGGTCACGCGTTAGTTTTAGACATCGTTTTTAGAAACGAAAGTAGAGTTATCTCTCTTACTCTGTATCAAACTTCACTGGGACAGACATTTATCACGTGATTGGTTGATGACGTATTTTTTCGTCTGCATTAGTTACTTTCGGTCTGTAAACCAACATGGGTAGGAAGGGGAAAGAATTGTGTTTAGAAGAGAAACATTCTATTTTATCACTGAGACAAGCAAGTTTGACACTAAAAGAAATATCGGATATTATCGGAAGACCATTATCAACAGTGCATACGTTTTTGAAGCGTCAGAAAACAACTGAAAATGTTGAAAACAAACCAAGAAGTGGCCGACCCAAAAAGTGCAGTGCACAGGATGAGCGACAAATTTTTCGAATGGCAAAGTTTAACGGAATTAACGAATGTTAGGAATGAAACTGGTCCTGGAACTGTCTCAGAAAGTACTGTGAAAAGAATTTTACATAGAGATGGATACAGAAGACGACTGGTAAAGAAAAAAATGCGTGTGCGCGAAGTGAATAAAACAAAGCGTGTGAAATGGTGCAAAGAAGCAAAGAAGAGAACTGTGGATGACTATTGGAAAAAAGTAATTTTTACAGATGAATGTAAGGTTATGATCGATGGCGAACGACGTGTATATGTATGGAGAAAAGCCGGAGAGGAATGGGACCCACCTTGTATTGCACCACCCGCCGGGCGACGTTTGGATTTAATGATCTGGGGATGTATTACTTATAATGGAGTCGGCACACTTTGTGTTGTAGATGGGAACATAAATGCTCAGAAATATATAGAGATAATTGACAATCATCTTTGGCCTGTCGTTGCTGCACATTTTCCATCAAATGAATACCTTTTTCAAGACGATAATGCCCCCGTTCATAGGGCCAGGTCTGTGAAGGAATTTATGGTTCAAGAGAATACACCGACAATGGAATGGCCTGCTCAAAGCCCTGACCTGAATATAATCGAAAACTGCTGGCGAAAACTTAAACAGGAACTGTGTAAAAGGGTACAGAATTTGAGAACCGCAAATGATCTGGAAACGGCCATTCGACAGGTATGGGAAAATATCCATCCTAACTTCATCCAGGACCTTTACAGAAGTATTCCACGCAGAATCCAAGCGATAATAAAGGCAAAGGGGTGTTTAACAAAATATTGAGGTAAGATTAAACTTATAAAATAATGTAGACTGAAGAAAAACATCGATGACCTAATTTTGTTTACATCGCCGCCATTTTGTTTTTACGAATACTTTTGACACGAGACTGTACATGTATTGTACTAGACACGGAAATAAATATAATATCGCAAAAGGATTTTGATCCGCTCCACCATTCACAACATGTAAACATTGAATCACCGGTGCAGGTTAACTTTTGTACGTTTTGTTTTTATGCGATGTGCATATATTTGGTATAAAAATGAAGCTCTGTTAATTTCTTCTCAAGAAAGAATTTAAACTTTAAAGTATAATTCTTCTGAAGGCTTCACAATTCGAGAAGAATACACAAGAAGAATATGATACATGTAGATTTTGTTTAGAAGTAAAATAGATCGATGGCTGATATAGGTATGTAAATTTCGGCTATAATATGTAACACCTCTCGTAATATTATAAGGAACTTGAAATTGACATACTTATCCAAGTTCAAGATTTTGTTTCGTGGAATTGCAGACAATGTTTAAATCCTTCAAATTCGTACATTATTTCTTTTTTATTAATATTTTAGCAGCAAGCTAGCACAATATTATTTTGCTTGTATGACGAAGGGCAGACGTGATTATGATATTCCATGTTTTCAGAGTGATATGGATCCAGAAAAAGGGGGGGGGGGGGGTTCCATTTTTTTCAATTTGTTAATTACAACGAAGATAGTGTACAGCTTTAAAACGAAAACAGGCGATTGAAAGGGGGTGAAATTGGAGATTATAGAAATAGACCTCTGTTAATACATGTAATTTAATGATATCGGGTAAAGTTTAAGTGATTCATCTTGAAAAAAATTAACTACCATCTAAAATGGTTACAGTCTTTATGACGTCACAATTGACGTATTTGTATTACTTTTAACGTCATGTTCAAAGACTGACGAAGAGAAATGTAACTTATATGTTTTTTGAGTTTTGAATTCAGATGATATAAATCGAATATCATGCCTCTCCACAAATTTCGTTTCAAACGAACTACTGGCTATTTTTTTTAATATATAGTGTATAATTTTTATATAAATATAGTTATATAAACCAAATATTACCGAATGATTAACAAAACTGGTGAATCTTTGCGACATCAAAATTTAAATGTAAAGGCATATTTCATATTGGCCACACGCATGAACAACGATTATATTAAGCGTGTAGATTCGTATCAACAATATTTATACACATGGTAAGTATGAAAGTTGTTCTTGACTGTGGCCACACTTAATTTTGGCAAATTCTGTCGAAAAATTGGCTTTTTATAACGTTTTTATGAAACTGTTGCATTTTCAAACCATCGCACGTGCATAACACCGCATTATTTGACAAAATGAGTTATGTAAGGAAAAGAAGTATGTTGTCCTCTAATAATTAACGTATAATACTGGCCATGAATAGAAACTAGATTTTTGTGAAAAACACAGGGCCAAATATGATGGTTCGTGGCTTTACCTCTTTTACTTTTTTAGTAAAATCTCCTTTAATCTGAACTCTATGCTAATATTCTTTGCTACTGCAATTGAGCGTCTCTTTTAAAATTGCAATCTCTAAAGTCATTTTTTTTCAGCAGTTACCTCTTGACCAACAAGGTTAAGCAGTTGGACTGTTTTTTTCAAACTTTGGAATTTCTCTTTCGTTTACATTCTTGCAATGATTAAAGAGGGGTTCCAGACGACGTTCCTGTTCTTAGAAAAGAACTACAATACGTAGACCAAATGCGCTTGTTTAAAACAAAAATATGAAATAATACGTTGCTGTAATGAAAATATTTTTTTACATCCTTATCCATGCAGTTATTCCATTATAATTTTACTCGATAGTCTAATTGAAACCTTTGAATGATACATGCACTTCCTGCACATCAATGCTCTATCAAGGCATTCTATCCATCAAAAATTGATCTTAAAATTAGGAAAAAATCTGTTTTCTGTTAAAAGATAAAACAACTTGAGTTTTATAACAAAACTAATTTTTATTTTTTCACGAGTAAAGCATGACATATGACAAATTAAAGCAATTATTTTTTTTTTTTTTACAAATTGTTAATATTTTCTACTTTGAACGTTAATGAAATATAAGATACAACATTAAATATAAATGAAAACTACTAGTCGATTTTTTTTTTCTTCAAATGAACCGAATTCTATTTTTTCCCTCAAGTAAAAGGTAATTCAAATTGTCCATCCTTCTAAATTTTTAACAAATATTAATCTTTGACTACCATGACTTTTATATATGTCGACTGTAGATTCCAAATAGCAGACACCAAAGATTATTCAAGATCTATTTCATATTTAGATTTTAGCTGACTTAAGACGATGGTGGCAAGGCAAACATGCAACTAATATATATATATATATATATATATATATATATATATATATATATATATATATATATATATATATATATATATATATATATATATATATATATATATGAGGAATAGGGCTATTGGCCACTTCGCTCACTTGACCTTGCTGTTTTTACAAGATTTCCCCCTTATCATATATTGTGCCCACCCTTTACCTACCCCTTGGTCATAATTCAAGCAATTTCAAATATACACAGCTTTTTTCTCGTCCAGTGGTTCTAAAGAATATTTTGAAAAATTATTCCTTTATATTGCAATGTGTAATGTGAACAATTTATTGTCTACACTGCCTCAAGAGTCTTCCACACGAGATTCAGTTTCCAGCCCAGTTGTTTGTAAGATTTTTCATGATCCCAATCTATCTGTAGGCTATCGGAAATTAAGTTAATGCTGTCACAGATGTTTCAACTATCACAATTAAGTAAGCGTATCATAAGCTCTTTGGTCGATAGAATAACACCTATCGATTGGTAATATATCTTATCATTTCGTTTAGATTTTAAGTCATGTTGACTACAGTTTTCTCGGTGACATTTCAGAGGAGAATACTTTCTCCTCCACGACATCTGATCCCATTTGTGGGGTTTCTTTGAATCTATATTTGTACTGATTTATCAATTTGAAATCCAGTCTTTTATCGTCCTAATTTTCAAAATATAAAACTGAATGAAAACCAACATCTTTATATAAGGAAAAATCTTTTTAAATTTGGATTTATTCAGCTTGAATATCGATTGAATACAATATGTGTTAAGAAATAAAAACTCAAAAACATTATTTTTCATTTAATTTTATATTAGAATATATATTTTCAATTTCACCCATTTAAATTCAAACAAACACATTAAATATATATTTATACGTACTAAATATACAGCAGAAAAATTAGTACATATTAAACATAGAGCAGGTTAATAATCTTAAAAGTTACGTAAACGTACAATTCTTTTAATCTTCACTTTAATTCGTCAAATTATTTATTTGTTTTCATCAAGAAGATTTCTTAGAACCTCTTTCAATTTTTTGAGGTTACCTCTTCTTTTCTGGTCGTCGGTGTCATCTATTTTGCTTTCTTCAACTTCGCGCTCAGACTCCATTGCGTCATCATCATCATCATCATTATCAAAGCTATTGTTATCATTGTTTCTTTCGTCATCGTCATCAATGAGGTCGCTGTTCTCGGATTCCTGTCGTTTTCTAGTGGACCAGGTACATATCTTGTAATTGTCATCAAAGACGAGGCCTCCAGGGCACGACTTTAAATACGGTACACCATTACTGCATTGGTAAAATCTGCCCGGGTCAAGAGGGTCAGGAAATGTCTGGTAACCTGCTCTTTGACATTCTGCTGTTTTTCTGGAAACGCATGTTTGATAATCTTTGTTGAATTGAGTCCCAGGAGCACAAGGCATAACGGTAGATCCCCCAAACGCATCACACTGAATAAACTTTGTCTTGTCTTTCGGATATGGAATGTGATAAATATTACCCTTGGGTATACACTTGGAATTAGCCTTCGAGGGTTGAGCTATCCCTACATAAAAATATCTTAATTGAATAATAAATATATTTGACTACATTTGCAATGTTATATGATTTGCTCTTACCGTACACAACTGCATTTGAGTGACTTTACCGACAAATCACCAATACGTATTCCAAATTTAAACACAGGAAGTACATTTAACAACAAAAAATGTTTATTAGTCAACGAAATGCTGTGGAATCATTAATGTTCGTGGAGGACTTATGTTCGTGGCTTTCATGTGTCACCCTGACCCACGCATTTTCATCTGCACGAACGTATATATAAACATTTGTTTTATTATTTATTAAAAGTTAAAACAAAAACGAAAGAAGACTTGTAATAAACGAAATTACGTCGCCACGAACCAGGAAAGTTTTGGCTACCCACGAACATTGACCCCGTGAATAAAAATGATTCCACAGTATGTATGAAGTGAAATAATTGTCAAGTAAAGGATCCCCTGCGTATTTTATAAAATCAAATAACTCATATGTAGAGACCATTAATCCCTTTTTTGAAACAGTTTTGGGATATTATTCTAAATATGTACATGTATATCTGATTACCATTTTCACAGTTTGAGCCCGTGTATCCAGTTTGGCAATAGCAGGAGAAACCACTGGGCGAGTTAATACAGCTACCTCCATTTTGACAAGACGAAGACCGACAGTGGTTTACAATGACATTGCATGTTTTACCAGTATAACCATTTGGGCACGAACAGTGGAAGTCGTTAACGAGATCCGAGCATGATCCACCATTCCTGCATGGGTTTGGTGCGCAATCGTCAATATTTACCTCGCAATTTCTTCCAGAAAAACCAAAGGCACAATTACATCGGTAACCGTTACCGTTCTTCAAACAAACCCCCTGATTTTGACATGGCGAGCTTTCACACATATTTACTTCGTTTTCACATGATCTCCCAGTGTAGCCAGAAGCACACTGACATGTAAAACCTCTTGGGAGATCTACGCATGTGCCGCCATTTTTACACGGACTTCTTTCACATTCATCTGAAAATAAAATTATATTTACTTAAATGTACATGGTAACTACAGTTGCCTCATATACACATTTTACAAACTTTTCCATACATATCCCTTTTATACCAAACTCACAAACGGTACAATTCTTTAATGATGTGTGCACGTATTTTTTCTTTTTTTTTTTTTGGTACAAATATATTTAGATATACTTATACTACTTTGTCATCATTTGCCCACCTATTGCTTGAGTGAATATAATGCTGAATGCCTTGTTTCTTGTCTTGCAATATTCCATCGTTGTAACTAACTTTCCTATGTAATGAACAAATACAGTTCTACCACGGTTTTTAATTGAGAACGAGGCTGGATCGCTGTCTCGTGCTTCTCCTTTCACGTCATAGAAAACCTCACTTGGGGTAGATGTTTCAACTGAAGCAAAGAGTTCGACTTCTCCACAGGTAACGTTCGCCTAAAACAAATTCTAATACATGGTTTATCCTATATGACAACCTAATGTATCGATGTCCTATATTAGAGTTTTTTTAATCATAATATAAGAAATCAACACCAAAAATTGAATAAAACCCTGATGTAGAAAATTGATTAATCAACTGAAATTGAACAATAGATTAATAATTGAAGAAACAATCTGTTTTCACTTTTAAAGCTATGAAACCAAGATTGAAGAGCTAAATATATTTAATAACCATCTATAATTTTCGAAGGCTTTCATTTATTAAACCCATCTGCAACAACTAATAACCTCCAGGGAAAAACGGTTACGAGAAAAAAGTTCGTTATAATATATGAAAAAGAAGTTTGTCTACAATAATTTCGTGGTTTACAATTATAAAGTTATTCAATAAAATTTAAAAAAAAAAAAAAAGCACTAAAAAGTTTTAAATTATGAAAGATATATATTTTTTGGTGTAAAATACCGGAAATATTTTTTGATTTTACAATAAGATTATGAAAAGAAGAAAATTTGATGTATTTCTACTTTGAATTATTTCACTTTCAAAAGTAATTATTCTGTGCCATTAAAATCAATGTCTCAAAATTCAGCTAAATTTAATATAAAATGTTCGCCCTTCGAGAGAGAGAGAGAGAGAGAGAGAAGGAGAAAATAGAGACTTAGAGAGAGAGAGAGAGGCAGAAAGAATGGGAGAGAGAGACTGAGAGATAGGGGGATGAGAGAGAGCCCGATAAACTGAGAAAGAATGAGAGAGAGACGGCCTACCGTTATTACTGTGACTTGAGCCACTGTGTCGATTTCCACAGTGCCCTCAACATCCCGGTTTGGTTTTAAATCCACCTCCACTTTTGTTTCATTATTAAAGAATTTCACTTTCTTTGGTGCTATAAAGAGAAGGTGAACATTCTATCACAGATTGTGGGATTGCTCGTAAAAACATTTCTAGGATTTTTTTGGAATTAATTTAAAATCATGCATTCAATATAAAATTTCCGAAACAAAACATAATTATATACATGTACATGTATATAGTACATGTATATACTTTTGAGTTTAGTAGACTTACAATATTTAGACTAAGTATATTTTATTCCTGGTACATGTATCAAGCCAATGAGTGAAATGTAGGTATAATGTAAATTAGAGGTACTGTGAGCACTTAACTCACGATGCAAAATGATACCCCGCCTCCCATATGATTATAATTGTCGAGTCCTATTTTTGCTGTTGGAGACCAGAAATGAGTGGCAAATCAAAAGGTAAAACGGATGTGCAATGCCATTATGTAATAAAGAATCAGTGAAAATATTAAAATTTTTTTCAGATGTATAGGAGGAGTTGATGACAACAGACAGATACCCCTCAATATTATAGTAAGCATGACTTTGGGTTTTCCTATGGGAATTCCGATATAGGTGTCCCATCAAAAAGTAGAATAGGAGGTCACACTGTCACTATGTAACAAATATTCTGTAATTATAAAAGTCTCAATAAATTTCATTCAGTGGTATGAAAGATTCGAATAGGTGATGGTTTACAAAAGGTGTAACAGACAGAAAACGCAGATTTATATCAGTACGTGTTCAAACCCAAAATAAACAAATATACCAATAAATGTGACATGGCAAAATGGGATCAGGTGCCTAGAAGGAGCATAATTTCCCTATCGACACGTCACATCCACCGTGACCCCCATGCTATTTATGTAAATGACGTCAATATATTTTACCTTTACAAGATCGTCTTCTGACATCGTACAGAATATTGTTAATTCCCGAAAACCCCTGTAACATAAACACGTGAACACAAGTCGGCTCCGAGGCTGCAGAGGTTATTTCCTCCCTGTCAACATTACCTATGCCGATCACGAAAATGGATACGCCTTCAGACCTGTAGGGAAAAAATGTATATTTTTTCTCTCCTTGAGATTGAAATTTTCATTTTTTTAATAGATGAGTTATTATCTTCTCAGCTTTTCCGATACCGTACTATGGAGTCGTAGTTTATTGGGTTTTTATACACTCAGTTAAATATTGTAAATATTACAAATGACTCTTAAAGGGGCATGTATACACACTTGCATTGAGGTTCTGTTTTTTCCTCTATTTTCAAAAATAATCAACTGCAGTAACAATAAACGTTTCAGCACCTCAATCTAGTTGTTCTAAGACTTTTTAAAATCGCATCCTCATGTTTAATTAAATAAGGAAGAAAAATGACAACGCAACAATACTGAACGCCTTTGTTTGTTTGTTTTTTTTTTCATGTGTTCTCACTTTGTTCTGTTGGCCTCTTTGGCTGTCAAAGTTTTATTTTTGGATTTTCCATCCGTGAGCAGGATCATTACTTTTGTGGCATCTTTTCTAGGAATACAGGACAAAAAAGATTCATTGAGGAATTTAAACGAGAATTATTTTTTTTATGAGTGTGGTACTGTTGATGACTTCTAATTTTCTTGTATCAGACGAATGGTATATTTTTGTCTAACTTACCTTGACGATCGGCTGAACACAGAACGACCGCTCTTTATACCTTCTCCGATACGTGTACCTCCTTGTGCATAACCCATGCTATGAATCGCTCTCTGTACGAAAACTTGTGTATTTTTTATTTTTCTGTCACTTTAATTTTTTTTTTTTTAAATATATTGTTTTTTTACTTTCGTCATCTTTTTAACAAATTCTAAGTTGAATTATTTACTTATACATCTTCTCTTTCAGCGCCGCGTCAAAAATAAGACGTAAAAATAGGTAGCGGCTGTTCCAATTCATTTGTATTTTTCATATGACCTTAAAAACGTAGGTCCCGTGTCACGGTAGGCGTTGGCACGATGTACTGCTTAATGGCCCTGAATGCCGATTTGTATTTTTCACAAGATACGATAACGTCTCCATATGAGTGAAAAATATGAAGTTAAACAATATACAATAATAATCAATCTTTTCCAAAACTTCTTAAAATTTTTTTCAAATATTGATATTAACTGGGTTTTCCTTTATCTAATAAATAAAATTATTTTGCATTAAAACTTGGTTTTCATTTGTCTAATAGATAAAATTAAATCAAAATGCGGTGTTAAAAAAGAGCTGTCGATATTTTTGGCAAATTTGTCAAATTCCTCAGGGTTTCCAAATATTTACACTGGAGGTGTTGTTGACCTAATATTCAATTCACCTACCGATCTGTTTTTTATCCATAAAATCTAACTCACCTGAATATATGATTTCTGACTGTATCTATTTAGATCAAACACTGTTGTGGCGGATGTGTGGAACTTGACGAGTCCGACCCGAAATGCAGTCTTCGAAATGGTAATCTGGTCCACAAGGTTCTCGAGAAAGGTCTTCATTTTATCAAAATCTGTGTCACCGATGCTTGTAGATTCATCTACCACAAACACGAGATCTACTGGTTTCATGTCACAGGATACTACAAAACATGAGACGAATAATAAAAGGCTTGTTTCAAAATATTCGGCAATATTGTTATCAAATTATGAAATTTCTCAAACTTTTATTTAATATCATTTTATATGTTTGCAAGTCATTAGATTTTAAAGGACATCATCATGCCTAACAAATGTGAATTCAAACTCTCTAAATCAACGTTGCAGATTAAACATAAACTGCGAACGGCGAGGGCACACTGAATGAATGTTTATGCGCACTGAGCGAACGGTGAATACCGCAAAAATTAGGGTATAACGCTCATTTGTATTTCGAGGAAATGCAGATTTAGCGGTAAACTGTTTATACCGTAAGCGTCTTACCACATTAATTTAATTATTTCCATTTTACACAACCATATTTTGTTTGTTGTTTGCTTTATTTTGTTTTATTTTGTTAATGAAATACGTCACAAAATTTTTGCTGCTCGTTATGACGTCACAATGAAAAAGCTTTCACGCTCGTTAACGACGTTCGATCCTGATATTTAAAGTCTTAAACTTTTTTTGCCAAGTATATTTTTAGTTTCTACATACATAGCTTAATTAAATTTCAAATCAAAAACATCGTAGTGTTTTTTGCGCCAAATTATGACACTATGAAATTTTATTTATTCAAAAATTTAAAATCTGGAATTTCCTCCAATATTTTTATCCAATTAAACATGTTAAAGCATGAAACAAAATGAATTTTTCTGTTTGACACTTAAAAATTGTGCAAAAAAAGTTTCTATTGCTTCGCATAATCAATTATTTGACCTTTCTGCACTAATAAAATGGTATTTTTCCGGCATTGAAAATATAATAAGCAAGAAAATTATTTTAAAGTCATATATTTTTTTTGTTTTAAGCAAATAAAAGTTATCTTGAATATTTAGATGAACATCAAAAGTATAATATAAATTGGCTCAATTTTTTCTCTGAAAGTGTAATATATTTACGTATTTGTCACACTTTGCTGATAGTACTCATAAAAAATAATTTGGAGATATTTCAGAACCAGTTAACATATTTCACAGCAAAAACAGCTTTGTGTGCAACCATCATGAAAAATAGGCAACTAAAATTAACAGTACCTTTTATTTAAATGGAAAATCATGCTTTTGGTTTATTTTATAGTCTCTGCAATTCATTTAATTTTAAATGACATTGAATATAGTTTAATTTGAATGTGAATTAAGTTCTCTTGTTAGAACCTAAAAATGATGCTTAATTTTATGAATGCAAACCTCCGCGAAATACGGTGAGTGCACGGTGGGGGCACACTGAACGAATGTTGATGCTTTAACATCATTGCATTGGCCAATCAAAGAGTGTTTTACAAAACAATTGCATAAAAATGAAATTTTAACGTACCTTGGCGAAGATTATTTACTGCAAGAAAATCATTTTCATGTCCACCAAAATATTTTGTCCAAAAGAGTGCTTGATCATCGACAGTTGGGGGAATGGTAGTTCTGTTTATCTCAAGAACATATTGTACATACAGTGCAGCTGCAATGCCTGAGTATAATGGTTTACGAAGGTCTGACCACGTTGCGCGGGACCAATCTATGCTGAAGTTTTCTTGAATACGTTGATTTCGTAGATTGTCAGAAGTTTTGGTAAGACGAAAATTCTGTTTATTGATCTAAAAACAAAGTTATTGGACAATTCATCAGTTACTTTAGTAACTGTTTAGGTATTTTTTAATCGCAAACAAGAAAAAAAGATATTTTGTAAAAGCTACCTGCCAGATACCACCATGAAACCCTTGCCGATAGGTGTCGCTTTTCTCGCCATCTTTACTTGCAGCATAAGCCATTCGTCTCAGAAAGAAATTATCATTAGATATGATACATCGCTCTCTAAGTAAATCAACCACGGCTTCCACCACAGCAGATCCGCTCGCGCCCTCTTCTCTGGTCTTGTCCACTGTATATACAGCAGACACAAGAAGCAGAGTTACGAAGATGGAAAATGCTCCCATATTATCCATCTTGCTGTTGATCAAAATTAGTCTGACTCAGGGATCTCAAAATGCCAAAGTATTTATAATGGTTATGGACAAATAAACAACCGTAATTTGATATGCAGGATTTTAATTCGAACAATTTTCCATTGACATCCTCGAAGATTGACCAAGGTGGTCTTATCTTTTCTCAAATCAAATAAAATCCCAATTTAGCTCTCAATTTTGTTAAATATTTAGTCATTTCTATGAGATTTTCTTCCTGGTATAAATATCCGTCATCTGTGCATTTATTCCATGTAATCTTTATATTGTTGATGTTAAATTGGTTATTTGAGGTAATTTCATTGTACCTGTATATAACTGACAAGGTCTTACTATGACATTTTCTTTTGTGTTTTTATTTTTTTTTAAATTCCAACCCGTGTGGTAAAAATGCATCTGTCATATTTTTTACACGCGATTTTTTAGAAACCGTTTTGATGAATTTTTTTTTAACTTTGCAGGAGACATTTATGTTTGAAAGCCAGAATTATTTTTTTTTGGTATTGGGCAAATAAACTAAACGAGCTTTCATTTGGCGCCGATCTATGGACCACATCCTTAATATAGAATAGTACTCTGTCCACAGATAATTTGTTTTTAATTTCTTGTCACACTTTGCAATTAAAAATTTAAAAATGTATGTAATTGTAAAAAAAAAAAATTCTTTTTCCACCTTTTCAAATTTCTGTTGTACATGAATTATTGTTGGGTAATCAGAGCAGTTTGTTATGATGACAAAGATTAATTTTGTTTAAAATAGTCAACGTATTTTTGAAAACTCTTTTTAAGTAGACTAAAGCCATGATTCTTGTTAACTTCTCTTTCTTATTTAATACATGTAAAATATCCTTTTTACATGCATATGGGATTTAAATCTCCTAGCTGATTCGATATGCAAGAGTATGCTCCACATCCGAACGGTTTTTAAAAACGAGGCAAACTATTGGCAAACAAGTTGATGAAACATTGATATCTTCATATCCGTTTAAAGTCATTTTGCATTTTGGTTGAAACAATGGCTTTCGTAGCAAATAGAATATGATCTTGTCAGCAAGTGCAATCAAATACATTTATCATCAAGTGTAATACTGGCTGACCCTTTTCATACAAGTGTTAGGTCATTATTTTTACTGCATTTTTAACGGATTTTCCACTTTGTCCGATTGTGATAGTTAGCACATGGCACAACTTCACATATTTTAAATTCTTTGTGGGCTAAGCCTATGGACAATGTAATAATTATCTGAAGGAAAATTTCATTAAACATTTATGTCTTTTGCTTCTTTTTAAGAAAATCTGTAAAATTTCATGTTGACTCAAAATTAGCTTTAAAAATGATTAATTTTGGTTATTTTTCCATAATTTCAATTTTCAGAAAGAAGTTTTAATTTGTTTCTTACCTCAGTTTCATATTTAAACAAATCTAAGGTTATTTTCTTGAAACCATTGAGGTACGGTTTAAATATCCTTTGTTGGGAGCAATAAAAATTAAATGTTTTCAAAAATTTTGGAATTGGCTAAAACATTAGGGATTAATTGACTGGTGAGAGACTCTGGAAAGAATGTGACATAATAATAATTTTATTTTTTATACACTTTTTATTTTACTGTCTTAATTATCATTCTGAATTCATTGTTTGATGCATTTCTTTATTTTAAACAGAAAAACCTCAAAATGAACCATTGCAAAGGTAATTTTCCTTCAGAAAATGGGGTCCAAAGCCTTCTCCCACATTAGTATTTGGATATATTGCGTAAAATTTCGTACAAATTCACAATTCTTTGTGGGCATAGCCTGTGGACAATGTAATAATTATTTGAATGAAAATTTCATTAAACATTGGTGTCTTCTGATTCTTTTTAAGAAAATACGGGAAAATGCACACGTTTAAGACATCATAATTGGCATTTAGAAATTGATATGAGAAAAATGATTTGGATTATTTTTCTGCATGGAATTTCAATGATTCAGAAAGAAGTTTTCATTTGTTTATTACCTCAGTTTCATATTTAAACAAATCTCAGGGCAATATTTGTATTGAAACCTACCTTGTTCGTTCAAGTATGTTTAATTGTATTCTTTGTTTTATTTGGAGTGTGATGTGCAGATTTTGCAATCACTTCTTTTACCTCTGTGCTCAACTCGATCCACTGATTTACGCCCCATGTTTTCAAGTGATGTTGTTCAGTGTTTACAGACACACAAGGAACAGGACGTCACAACATTTCAAATTTTGTTTATTCATTTTTTTTTTTTTATTTTTAATGTCTTAATTGTCACTCACTGATTTCATTGTTCTTAGCTAGTTATCTTTAGTTTGCACACCGGCTGTAAAATACATTATCATAATGATTTAATAATGTTTTATGATCACCAGGCAGCTCATTTCATGTTATATGCACTCTGTGTCCTCTTAAAAATGCAATCCAAGAGAACTACTGCATTGTACTGTCTATATCAACTGTACATCGCCATTCTATCATTTTTTTTTTTTTTTGCTTTTTGTTTAAACTAAGTAGCTGCCAGTAAGATATTCAATGAAAGAAACTAAATAAATAGAGCCAAAAATAACTCAAAATTTGAAATTAGCTAGTATATCGAAACATAAACAGCCTTTTTGAAATTATATTTGCGCTTAGCAACAGGCGCTTGGCATTTTTAACTTTTCTTCTCACAAATAAAAATATCTCATATGCTTTAATGATTTCTATATGTCATTTTATTATTGTAGCTTAGGGGATATTTTTATTTATGAAAAGAAAGGTTAGAAAGGCCACAGATCGCCTGTGATTTTAGAATGTTTCTTCACAACATACACTTTGTTTGTTCACTGTACAAATTAAAGCACAACTGAGAGATAGTTATATAACCAAAATGTCCAGAAAAAAGGGATTTAATTATGAACTTCTATGCCACACAAAGTTATTAAAAGACTTTTTTGGCATACTGACATGTGATGATAAGGAATATATGTTGTTAAAACCCATTTTTATGCATTTTATTTTTACTGTAAAAAATATACCATTCGCAATATCCTCAGCTTCTAAGAGATATAGTAGATCTCATTAGAGATACTAGCAGTATTAGCAGCAAGAATAAGAAAAATAAAAATAATCTAAAATATTCCATAAATTTACCCAGGAATTTTAGGAGTGGGATCTTGTTGAATTATCATAGATCGTGGGAAATCAATGTTCGAGGAATTTATTGTGGTTAGCCCTTATGTATTAACATATCCACGAACATTGAAAACTTTACAAAATAACTTTTAATTACTTTTACATGTAGCACAGATAATTTCTCTAACTTTGTAGACTTACATGTTACCCAGGAATTAATCACATTTTGGTTAACCCCTGAAAAGGGTATTTATAGGCTTTAAGACTGTTGCCCAATCTATTCAGTATATACTGAATAAATATTGTTTACACAAACTCCTATAATTGATTAATCCTCAGTATTTTAAAATATATTTTAAACGAGCGCATTTCTTATATTCATATCGTGTCAAATTAAAAATTTTTCAATAGCAACAATCATCCTTTATTATTTGTTTAGATCTTTAATTCTGTTCAAGTTTCTTTACAACACGAATTAACTTTAATAACTTCCTGGTCCAAGGTTTATGAAAGAATTTAGACGTTGTCAATAGATAGAAACATAATAACATCCATACCAAAGACATTTTCTACCCGTATCTATTAATAGCTACGTAGGTATTTGATATAGTCCCTCTACTGGTCTTGAACAAGGTAACTTCAAGTGATAGAACAGATTCTAATGGTAATGCAGTTCTCTGTAGAGAAATGAAATACATTTGTAGTTTTTTTTTTAATGTCGCGCAATTTCAAATTGCAAATAAGATAAGTCTTACATAAAAAGAAATCAAAATGTAAGTTTTACATAAATATTCAGGCACATTGTATGGTTGTTTTGTCTGACAAAACTCATGTTGGCCTCAAATCCCATTTATGACAATGTACAGTATTTTATTTGATTGGTGAGTTGGTTTGTAAATTGGTTTGTAAATTGGGTAGGCAGTTTTAAATTGACAGTGTACATGTACGGTTATTTATTTATTTTTTTTTTAGCAAATATGACACTTACAAAATTTGGGATTATATTCCACAGTCTTACACTGTTTACTTACATGAACAAGAAATATTTATTTTTTATTGGAAAGTATTTTTTCCGTTCAAAATCACACATTTTGATTAAAACAAGGAGAAAGTTTCTTATATTCCGCTTTTTCCCAAAATCATTCAACTGCATCAGCGTTTATTTTCCTGAACTAAAGAAATGTCAGTTCAGCGGAGGAACGTATTGGGATCCTAAAAATCAACTTAATACGTTAGAGTATAATTGTCAAAATATTTAATAATATTGTTGTTTGTTTTAAGCTGAATTTCAATCATCCAACAAATAACTTAAAAAATGTATTTTTAAAGTGACAGAAAACTAATAATAGTTTTGGATTTTCCAGGTTTATCCCGGATGATTGGATCTATATTTAATGACCCGGATTTACTTAAAATGTGATATATATATTTAAGCAACAAAATGAGATTTGAAAGAAAATGGCTTATAATGATAAATTTTACACATCATACATTTTTTTTTTTTTTTTGGCCTTTTGGCATAAAATAGGTAAAATTCCATCTTGATAACATCCAAATTCATTCTACCATCTTTGAAAATCACAATGGTAAAAAATTATAAAACTTTGAGGATTTTATAGAATTCTTTACAGTGTAGACATAAAAAAAACTTACATGTAACAAAGATTATTGGAATTTTGATTTCTCGTCTGTAAAACGATGTTTGTTTTCCCTCTTCCTGTTTAGTATAAATCAAATGATCTGAATTTTCACAAACTTTTAACATACATGTTGACAAGATTCAAAGGGGGGAGGGTAAAAACAATATATAATTATATATCGGTTCCTCCTTGAAGTAAAATATTTAGAGTCGGCCGATTTTCAGCTAGTCGAGAGAGGGCAAGTAAACATTTTTTTTTTTCAAATATAGTCGTAAAGCAGATAATTGAAAAATCTCGAATAACCCCGGTTTCAATTTAATCAGGTCTAAGTTTGTCTACTCATTTTACCAACACTCGTCGCGAACTTCCGGCTTCCTGGAGTTATAATATGGTATTGAAGTCCACACGGCTCGTATTTTGTGTTGATTGCGTTTGTTTGTTTGCGTGACTGATTTTACTTCTGTATTGGAGATAGTAATGATTATCTATCAAATTGAATATATTAAGAGAAAGAAGAACATAATTATTAAAAAGGATAAAGCAACACAAAATTGAATGAAAAATAAGGTGAAAGTGAAATTAATAAGCATCAATAACTGTGGACATGTATTAACAATAATTTCAAAGAATATATAATTGAAATTCATTTTCAAAAAGAGAAGGCACTTTATTACTTTAAGCAAATATATATACAGTTTAAATTTTTTTTGTCCAGTGTTTTAAATGAATAAATATTTAACGGAGAAATATTTCATTTCTGTTTGGTAAATATATGTATATCTTTGAGTGATAGAGTGGGGGGGGGGGGAGTAGTACTTTTTAAATAAAATTGTCCAACAGTTTTCAGTGAGAACCTAAGTATATGAAATGTTGACTCTTATAATCCTAGAAATAAAATATATTGTCATGTTAAGAGTATGATATTCTGTGGGGGTTCTGCAAGTCAAATATCTCCTTTTTCTTAATTGATTTCAAGGTTCATTGTAACATTATAAAAATTGTTATCAAACTCATATTAATGTGAACTTTAAACAATATGTATTTAAGTTGAAATATACATTTTTGGTTTTTACATTGTCTTTGCTTTGAAAACAGCTCAGGTGGATTGAAAACGAATTTCGATCTGCTATTTCAATCCGATGTTTTCCAAACGTCCGCGTCGAATTGTACCCACCCATTTCGTTGTCTATCACGGAATGTTTTGATTGTAACTGATTTCCAATTTTGCCAGTAAACAGTTTTGTATTAACAATAATTTCAAAGAAATGTGTAGTAGAAATGACTGTATATTTCCAATTTTGTTCATTAATGTTTTTTTCCTCCTAAAAGGGGGGAGGGGAAGTGTCACTATCATATATTGAGAGTGAAATAAGCAAAATATATATACTTTTGGCGGAAATTTCCAAGATTTTGCACTGTTTTCACCTTTTAACATTACAAGTAACAGCTTTTTTTATAAGAGATTGTTCTGCATATAAAGACCACTTGGATTATTGAACTGCGTTGTTTATTATTATTGGACTAGTCCATTTATGGAATAAACAAAGCGCGGGATCGGGAAACACATTAGAAAATAACATTTCATTAGCGTTGCATGTCCATCTGAAGCATTAAAAGAAGGTTAAAAGGACAGACTTCATTTAAGGTTTCGTCAAAGGTCAACATGACTAAAAAATCATTTTTACAATAGCTTTAAAACTATGTGTGGTATAAAGTCAAAATGTTTACAGTTTATAAATATATCATTGATTAATAGATAGAAAGTATCGCTTGATAAATATTTTTAAAAAGATATTTATTGAGAAAAATTGTATCAGAGAATGTGCATATTAAAGAAAAATGCACCTGCTTAATTATGTCTTTTTTGTGAAAACCACCATGGCAGAAATAATATATGTTTATCATTGAAGGGCAAGTTGGACGTGAATGGTCCCTGAAAGGCTGTTATTGAAAGCATGACATGTATAAAGACAAAACCCCTATAAAATACGCCAGTTGCAATGTACTTTCAATTTCAAGTCTTAACATTTGGACAAAATAAACAGGGAAAACAACTTTCCAGAGGCTATCCAAGTCCAACTTGCCCTTCATTGATAAACATATTTTGTTTCTGCAATAATGGTTTTCACTAAGAGCGCGGCATTAATTAGGTGTATTTTTTGAAAATATATGCATTTTTAAGAAGAAATTTTCTCAATCAATATTTTTTCCAAGTATTTTTTTTTTATCAAGTGATACATTCTATCTATTAATCAATGATATATTTATAAACTGTAAAAGTTTTAACTTCATACCCCACATAGTTTTGGGGCTATTGTAATAATAATTTTTTGGACATGTTGACCTTTGACGAAACCTTAATTCCATGGAAGTGAGCACATCAATTCATACACTAGAATAATCCAAGAACAGTGAATGGCATGGAATAATATGTTCCGTGCAAACAGAGTAAAGGAAGTAAACAATGTACAGTAGTATTTTGCATCAATATATATAATATCATTCCTTTTTTTGAAAATTGTTCCTTTTAAAATGCAGGTAAAGAATTCCAATGTAAATCAGTTTGCGCAAACTTTAGCTCTCTAGGTATGATCCCATAATTTTGGATGATGGAAATATTGATCCTTACACCGCCTGGCGCCGTGACTTAAGACAATAATCTTGATTCTTTACAAAAAATGTAAAAAAAAAAACGAATTTCCATCCAGTCATTGAATACTTTCGATAATGCCTTTTACTTATACACGGCAAAAAACATACATGTAATAAGCTGAAAACTTTATCTGTTTAGATGCGCGTGCATTTACATGACTGTGTAGTATGTTTATGACAATCTACATCCGTTTAGCGATAAAAAGTTGAACACCATGTGGATTTACATACATTTCAAGATAGTGTCCCTTTGCTATGATAAAATTAATTTTCATTTCAAACGCCTCTGTAAAATTATATGATCTTGTTGGCGGTAGTTTTATGTCATCCAATGTAACTTTAAGGTATCGTGGCATTCCATCGGAGTTCTCATTTACAAATGCTAGTGCAGTCCTATTGTGCGAAAGATTCCGGCTCCAAATTTGAATTCCATTCACCTAGGAAAAAAATAAGTATCTTGCAGTTCTCGATACTAAATCCAATCATTAAATCTTTTATAAAATTTAGCATGTATATGAAAACAAATATGTATAGGTAACAAAAATATATTTACATTTTTATAAAGACATTCAATATGCATCGCTGAAATGTTTAGTGTTTCTCTTGAATAATTTTTACAAAAGAAAATATTCTGGTATACATATTTCAAGTCTACAGCTTTTACTCTACCTTTCTCAACAGAATGGCTTGAATTCCCAATTTGTCTTGGTTGATAGAAATAATATTTCTGTTTTGAAGAAGAGCTTTTGATTGGCTACGTATGTGTCTTAGATCATTTGACATTATAAGAGGCGCTGCCATCATAGCCCACATAGCAAGATGTGTTCTTTCTTCGTCATAGCTCAAACCAAAATTACCTAAAATAATCTATGGGTGAAAATAATTAAAACATGATTTAAAATCAAATTCAGTAGGTATTTGAAAGGGTTTAGAGTTTTTAATGTTGATAAACACCCTGCGCATTTATATAAAATGTTACTTGAACATTAATAATTTTCCAATTTTATTTTTTATGAGCAAAATATAAACAATTTTAGCATAGCTTGCAGGGTAAAATTAGACCAAAAGAAACACTTCAAATTGTACATCTATAAAGGAATAATAGACATTTATATCATTAAGAGTTATCTCTCTTATCAGAGTATCAATGGACCTTAGAAATTACCATATCAGGATCGTTCCATCCTCCGGGCCCCGCATATTGTGAAAATAATTCTGAGTTGTTTCCCCAAAAATTAATTATATCTATGACGCTGGACCACGAGTCCTGAATATCGAAGTAATTTCTCCACAAGTTACAAGTATTTCTCACTGCAGCAAAGTCAACCTAGAGAGAATTATTTTATATAAACGTTTTGTAACAAAGGTGATATTTAAATCTACGGCTTAATTTCGAAAATTCAGAAATTTATTTAATACATTTATGTACATTGTATGAATCCAAACTTACGGAAAGTCCTCCAACTATTTTGTAAAATGGCCATTCACATGAGTAAACAATTTTCTTTCGCGTTCTGTTCAAAAAGAATTCCATGGCTTCGTAACCTTAAAGAATTGATATTTTCTTTATGTTAGATTTTTGTCTTCTTTAAAACTCAACAAACCTTTTTATAATAAACACAAAATACAACTTTTGTTATAAAATCATATCCAAGGATCGAAAGGACTTTCTTTTATTGTAATTGATATTTTTTCTAATTATTTGTCTAAAATATAACTACAATAGTACCCGCTTGAAAATCATTAAGATTTGAGTAACAGCCGTCAAATTTTAAGTAGTCAACACCCCAATCTGCAAATGTCTTGGCATCCGTTTGCATGTAAAATTCACTTCCGGGAAAGCCACCACATGTTTTCTTTCCAGAGTCTTCATATATACCAAATTTTAGACCTTTTCGATGCACCTGTCAAAAGAAAATTAAAAACTGTATAAAGAACAAGGTTCACCTTTGCCTTATTTGGCCCTGTGTATTTCTGAAAATCTGAAATTCCATAGTTTTAGTTAACAATGCATTAAATATCCCTTAGATCTTTGGTGACTGTGTATCTATCAAAAATCACGTAATTTTCTGGCTAGTCAATGCATTATGATGTCACAAATTGCGTCAATTTCCTCATATTCTGAAAAAGTGTACAAAAACGGCCATTTTTAAAGCTATTTTTCAATATTTAATATAGAGCGCAACCTCTGATCTAAAATATGCAACTCGTATGATAGAACTGTTTTTGAGAATTAAAAGACAGGTTTTATTTTTTAGATCAGAGAGTGCGCTCATAGAATTTTTCTTCCCTGAAAGTACTCAATTATACCTGTTTGCCTAGAAATTCAAGAACACTGCAATTTCATAAAGCCAGTTCTCCAAGACCTGGACTTTTAGGAGAAAATTTTATTACGATATGAAAGCACTAAGTCTCTATTTTATTTTAATGCTTCAAATTTAAAATCAAGTGTTGGTCAATCAATTGGTATATCTACAGGGCCATTTTATGCAAAAAATGAACCGACTTCTTTACTGTTAAATATAATGTATTTATCATTTTTAAGTTTGCATTTAATTTCAGGGATATTATTTTGGATGTCATTTTATGTCGTCAAATCAGATTACCGTTCAATAAATAACGGTTAAATATATTTTTTAATCACTATGCTTTTTTCAGTAATCTTTTTATGGTTATACTTTTTGTGCTCACATATTCTGCTAAATTCTTTATTCCTGAAGGAAATCTGTTTGGATCGGGAAGCAGTCGACCATCTTGATCTCTTTGTTGCGCCAGCCAGCAGTCATCAATTATCACATACTCATAACCAACGTCTCTGTAACCTTCCGACGCCATTATATCCGCCATTTCTTTTATCAAACGTTCACTTGCAAAAAAAAAAAATATAATTAACCAAACATGGCAAATACTTTGCAAGAATACATGTATTTATAACACAAGAATGTACAATATTTCTCAGTATTGTTTTAACACATATCTATAGAACAATATTTCAATTATAAATATAAAACAATTAAAATAGCATTTTTTATCATTAAATAATGAAACCTGATACAGTTTTCTGGATCCCTTTCACAGTCTGTATTACATCGAAATCTTTCCCACGTTAGCCATCCCATAGGTGGAGTTAACGCCAATCCGTTATCCAACGCATTTATGTCTGGTTTCAATAATATCACAAATAATCCTATTATCAAAAAGCTCTTCATCTGTAAAAGGAATAAGTGATTTTTTTTTAACTATTAGATTTATTTTTTTCCTGATTCATCATGACAAAAACATTTCACCTTGCATATGATTATTTACCCTTTGTATGACGTAGGAAAGAAAACAAATCAACACATTAATTTGCAAAACGGTTTTCTTCGTATGAAAATTGTCAGTGTTACACTAAACTACATGTACATGTACATGCAAAATTTATATAATAACATTTATATATTCTTTAAGTAATTTTGAGAATTTACCTGTTTTAATTAGTCCATTCCCCTCAGAGTTGTTCACTGAATTATCGCTCTATGACGCCACATGCACAATTCATTATCCTCTCCCGTGAAGTGATGAGTCAGTGGAAAAAAAAATGAAAATCAATAATGTGACAGCTGATACAACCAAAACAAAACTTGAAGTTCATCAGATTGAGGTTTACATACCAAATTTCTGTCAAATTATTCTGATCTGAACAAAAAAAAATGACAATATGAAAATATCGACAAGTGCAGGGTAATAATGGTAATGGTAAGACCCCCACCCCCGCCAACCCTGGGTGATGAAGTATGACTTTACGTAGAGTTGAGGGAAATTATTTCTAAAGAGGCTTTCACAATCAGTGTTGCCCGAGAAAAAGCCATTGATTGCTTTGTCATATAAAACAAATCAATAAATAGGATTTTAATTTCATTTATCAACATTCAACAAATCATTGATACCAATACATGTATATTGACTGTATTGACTCGTTAAGTTGCAATGATTATGTAGCCCAATTTTATTTTTTGCAGAGACGTTATATATTTTCTTTTTGAAAAAGAAGTACTAAAATGACCATTAATGCTTGTTGTTAAAAGCTATGATCAATTATGTTCACCATGTAACCTTATTACACATTACAGAATTGTAGTTGGAATTTTTTTTATTTCCAACAAGTTCACTAAGCATTTAACTGATATTTGTGTACTTTATTTCAATAATTTATTTAAAAGGGTATGTCATGGCAACAATTGTTACACACATTACTATTTGACAGAAAAACAAGTCAGTTTTTATATTCTCCTTAACAAAGAAGATTTTATATCAAGATTATATTCAGATTTGAGTGCATAACAATAGTGTTTACTATGAATCAAGCAAGTTTTAAGAATGTAGACTGTTAAGGGGTTAAAAGTAGAGCAGCAGCAAACCTAACTTTAGAGATGTATTGCTATAATATATTATATTATTTCAAAGATGGTAAAACATTTATTCTTTTACATAAATCTTGTTTGAAAAAATATGAAATTTGTTGATGTTGTCTATACCTTCAAAAACAAAAAGAATAAGGTTTTTGCCGTAAAACTCTTTGTAATCAGTATGAAAAATTGGGAGGATGATAAAGATATTTTGTGCTCTGCTAATTGCCAGAATTTTAAAGAGTGATTCAGTAAAAGTCTTTTTTTCAACCACAAGGTCCAATTTCCACAACCTCACAATAAAAATGTTAACCACAACCATGACAACCTAACAAAAATAAGTTAAAGCTCACATTTCTCCCAAGATCATTAAATCAAAATTATTCTTCCCAGTGGTTGAATGGTGCCATCGTAAAATTTTAAAAATACTGAAATTGCATTAATCAACGGTACGGAAGAACATATTAATTACATGTAATTGTCCTTTTTGGCAAAGTTCACCTCTTCTTTGTCACATACCTTCTGAAGAATAAATATAAATAAATGCCACTCCAAACATTTGATTAATTGTATGACCAACAATTCAACATCTGAAATAAATTCCTTGAAGTTGATCTGAGTTGCATGATTCTGCATCCCTCGTTGATTATAATCATTGAAATAAACTCGTATATGAAACCAAACAAAATGTGATTGATCATTTTCTTTATTTCATTACAATAAAAATATATTTTTTTTTTACATATGATATAAACTTTATATACAAAACAATGCAGGTGGAATTTCTATATCATTTTCAATTATCTTAATACATTATTCTTTTCTGTTGTTTCTTCATTAAAAATCTCATCCACACGTTCATCAGTTGTTGATAGCATTCCATCTTACCAAGACCTTTAGGACATTCAATTACCATTCCCGATCTTTTAGAGTATCTTCTATCCATGATGCTGTCGTTTTCGTACCCTAGAAAGAGACTGAATATAAATATTCTGTTTTGGCAGGAATCATATCCATAATCAGTTACGATTCCGTTTCAATTTTTTATATTTCTTATCGATAATCAAGGAATTTTTTTTTTTGATCACCCGGCAAAAATCTTTATAATCCTTTGACTCCAGGTAATTTTTACCGATCCTTTATTATAATATTTTTCCGTTTCACACATTTTTGATTTATGTGTTATCTGATACTGTTGATTAATTCTTGCGCCTCCTTTCTATAACAGATTTGTGTGAATAAGATTTAGCGTGAGGGTCAATGATTGTTACATTTATATAGTAAATGTGAATGAAAAGTCATTGGTCATTATAAAATTTGATTGACTTGTATTTACAGGAGTCGGTTATAATTTTGGAAATGAGTGACGATTGGTTTGATTTTTCTTCCTTAAAAAATATGAAAATATTATTTTGTGTATAATCAAAAGCTGGATTCCTTCTTTGTTTATTAAATAAAAATTTATTTCATTAATCCGCATTAATAATTTAATTAATTCTCCTGCTGTTTGTCTTAATTTAATTTTGTATTGATTTTTTGCAAGTATTGATATTCTACTTATAAAAAAACTAACAATATGGCTAAATATATGGACAAAATTTCTGGTTAAAATGAATGACAGAATCTAATAAAAAAAAAAATGCATGAATTTCTTAATTCTGCTTTATAGGAAAATTACTTTGGAACAAATTTGGAATTGAAATTTATTTTTATATATTGAAACCCAAAGAGGTTTTATATTTTCAAACCCCTACAATTAAAACATAAGATTCAGAGTACTATAATAAGGCACTTTATCACTCTTTCTTATTTTGAACAAAGAAAGTATTCTGTGACATTGAAAATACATTCCAGACAACTCAACAAAAGGTTGATCTTTTTTTCCCGAAATTTGGAATGGCGGCAAAAATGATATTATAAAATGTTTTGCATGTAAAAACTATACATTTGGACGTGGCATATAAAAAAAAATTATGAACATGATTATGTGCTTGAAAGCATTAGCAAGCATTTATATAATAGAGCTCAACGTACAAAAAGAAATATTCAGCCATAATGTTGTTACGTAATTTTTTATCTATTGTTATGATCAATTTAGTTCAACAGCTACACGTATATATATATTTTTTTAAAAATTGTTGTTACATGCACAAGCTGTAAGAAAAACAGATCAGCAATCAGATGCAAAAAAATTGTCGAAATATCCCAGTATAAGAAAATATTACTCAAATTAACCAAATATGTCTAAGAAAAAAATTAATTGCAATTGTCTTAAAAAGTGCATGACAATTTGACGAACGTAGTCTTACCAAAATCAGAGTTGATAAGCGGTACAATTATTAGTGCATGGGCAATTGTGTTGAAAGTGATGGAACACAGGATCAATTTCGTAATCCATTGCATTTTAATGTCTCCTGAAACTAAAAATTGACAAATTAAATATAATATTTTATTATCTTTTTACAAACAAAAACGAAATCATCGTACTTGCACCTGAGTTTTCTTAAGAAGTTAATTAAACTTGCGAGTTTACTAGTACTCCTTTATATACAGTAGCGAAAATAATTTGCGAATTTTGCGAGTTTTATTTTTAATATAAATTTACTTTTTCAAAGTAAAAGGAAGCAATTTTACCTAAATCCTAGACCGTGTATATTTTGGACTCAAAAGTAAAATTTATAACAAATCAAAAATTTATTTATTAAAATATGCTTCAGATATATTACGTTATAAGAATTGCTTTAGAAAAGAAGTACCTTTCAATACCAGAAGACATGATTTTCTTAAATATGCGCTAAATCTATGAATTATTTTTGTTGCATAATATTTGCAGAGTTAATTGTGATTTCAGGTATACGTATTTTTTAAATAAACTTTTCAATAGATTTATTTTGTATTATTATTATTATATATCAGAACCATTCTTACCTCCTCCCCTGTTGTTTTGTGATGGTGCATGAACTTGTATGATTTTCCTTCTTTTGGCAGCTTATATATTATGGCTAAAGAGTATAACACCTACCCAAGAACTATCGAATTAAAAGGGTGCGACAAAAAATAAAGGAATGTGCGAACTTATCACATTTGTTTTGTACTTACCTATCTCTAATTAAATCAATAGCCTCCTCTTCCTTAGACAGTTCCGTTGAAATATGAAGTCTTCAGATTGAAGTTTAATTAAAAATGGATTAACGTGAGGAATCATAATGGTAGACTTTGTCATTATCAGTTTTAAAGTTCTTTTTCTACCATAAATTAAAATGCTAAATTTCTAAACATATACCCGTGGAATTAATGATTGCGTTAATTCCCGAGAAACACCACACGCAAAAATAAAATTATTCGCCTTTATTCTAAGATTTTAGTGGTGAAATCTATGTAAAATCTCTTGATCAAACGTCATTTCGCGAGTTATTATTCTCTCGACTTGACGCTGAAGAGCCCATTTGCGGTAATAAGTACTGGCAATAACATAATGAATCTACAGTAGATTAACAGATTGCCTTTTAAAACAGTTGTTTTGCATTTCAACGAATACTACTGTAAATTAATTAGAATAAGCTATTTCATCTTACAACGTGGTTTTTTTTAATTTGACATACATTTATTTTTTATTTCTTTTCTCGTAACCAAAATGCGCTCGATGTATCTCGGCAGTCATGAGACATGGAATAAATTTTGAAATTATCAAATTTCAATTGTTCAAAACACTAATATTGTAAAGTCATGATTCGACTTTTATTGAAATTTAATTTAGAAAAAATATCGTGACTGCAAGCTTTGAGAAAATCAACTCAAAACATCATTCAGAACTCATATATATATATATTTTCATATATATTCTTGATTAAATCACGTGCTTAAATCAATGATTCCAAGAAATATTCTGTAAAATCGATAATACTTATCACAAAAGATCAAACAAATGAAAGAAAAAGCTTAAATGTATGACAACTCCTCAAATAACATTGTATGTGTTTACAGATAATGGTTGATAATGTTTATACAATGTTGATAAAACAATAAAAATAAGACAGATGAGACAGATTTCTTATACCTGTCTGTAGAAAACGTGTTCTATATTATGATTTTAGATATGTGTAAAATTTAAGTAGTAACATATATTTATACTATTTGCATTGTATATCTAAGATTTTAATTGATATTTGTTAAATAATTCATGATGAAAAGTTAAAGTTTTAAATGTTTTCAAGCATGGCATATGCACTTTCTTTCAATATTTAGAGGGTAAGAACTAAGATTTACAGATTGGTCTACAGGAAATGCGCACTCATCCATGGGACCTGACCCTACCTCCAATGTTTTAGACGTCCGTGTTTACTCTGCTCCGACTTTGTATTGTTTTATGGACTTTTGATCTTGAAAACTGTTCATCATCTCCATACGTATCATGGATTTAAACAACTTTTCATCCAAATCTTTATTTTGTCTCGCGAAATGTCTAACTGTTTGGGCTTTAAATATGAAAAGAAATCAACATTGCTCTTTCTTTTACAAAAGTATCCATTGTACTGTGTGTGCCAGTAGTTTTTAATGGATGATTAACCTTTGTCCCTATTTATATGTTGAAATTTTATATCTAAAATAATGTATTTTAAATACAATTAGATATATGATATGGTCTCATAAATTCTCAGTTTATTTTAAAAACTGGATCGAAAGTGGTTATAAATTCAACATTTTGAATCGTATCTAAGGACTTGTTTTAGATTGAAAAACCTACCTGGTTGAATAAAAACTTAATGAACTAAGACGGATGTTATAGAAATTAATACCCTTTTGGAAGAAATATGTTCTACCTAATGAATTGTAAACATATGTATGTGTTAAATTTCGGTAGTTGTACATTCATTTTTTGCATTTCATTTGCATTGTATGCACATGTATAATATTTTAATTGATATTTGCAGTACGATTTATGATGACAAATATTGAAGTTTAGAATATTTTGAATTGTGTCATATAATTTAATACATAGGATAAGAACTACTGATTATATGAACTTGAAAAGTCAAATTCTAAAGATATTTTATTTTGCCTGGCGTAGTATCTAACTGTTGGGCTTTAAAGATAAAATCTTCTTTGTGTTTCATTTCTTGACGATATTATCCATTATGTGCGTATGTGCGTGAAGTTTTTAATGGAGAGATCAAATGGGCTCCGATGATTATGTTGAAACCTTAATATATTTAAAACAATATTCGTAATCTTACAACGTTTAGATCTCGAATATTGTCTGAGAAGTTCTCTTAAAGTTTGAATTATATTTAAGGATTTCATGCACTGTGTTTTGGATTGTAAAATTCTTCATGGTCAAATAACAAATTTATTGAAGTGGGGAAGCAATTAGGCTTTTCAGAGTTCTATTCTATTTTTTTTCTTCGATGTCGCCTTAAAAGTTTATTGTACGGATGTTTTAAAGATTCAAGATTCAAAGAGTTATTCGAATTAAATGCATGTTTATTTATTAACATCAATATAGGAATGCAACCATTTTATGTTACATTTGTTATAACTACCATTTAAACATATCTGAAGGTGAAGTATTACCCAAATCTTTTGTAATGTAATCAATTTTAATTCTCAATAAATATTTCTTAAGTTGTTTAACAGGGAACAGGTAAGTTGATGAATGGTGTACTTTCGTAAAGGATCATTCAGTTTAAAGTCACTTAACACAACAATGGCTTTGATGATTATAAAAGATATATAAACTCTTCAAAAAAAGAAACGCATAGTAGTAACAATGCCCTGAAAAATGTATGAAAGTTTTGCCATACTTTTTATTTTTAGATGAATATGATGTATTTGAGTGAAATGCTTGATTTTTAATGCAATTGTTAACTTTACAGCTATT